TGGTCTGTGCTACACGCTGTGGGTCTAGATACGGCCGAGGCGGCGAGGAAGTGGGGGTGAGTTTAGTCCGACGACGGAGGGACATGAGGGCCAAAAAGAGTGGAGATCCAGGTGGGAAAAGGGTCCCAGCGTTCTCGCGCACCTCGCTCTTCTAGCGGGTCAAACTTCACGAGTTGTTTTCCGGAGTTTCGGTCATGAAAACAAAACAAGCCGGCCTCCTGTCTGCGGCGATGTCTGCGGTCAGCTACGATGTGGGAGAGGAGCAGCGGAGCGTCTATAACGCAGGAGTATTATTATTTATCAGTGAATGAGGTTTTAATAGGAATAGATGGAGTAAAACTTTTCTATTTCTGTTATTTGCTGTAAGATAAAAGGAAAAAGCAATATTAGCTTCAAAAGATGTGCCTGATTTCAGAATAATTCTTGTCGATGTCGGCCTTAAAAAAAAACAAAAATAAAACCCTGACATGGTCCCTCTCTACTATCTCTATTATTCTTGTTTCTATCTTGCGGTGGTCTGGTTGTCTCTATCATAGATTGTTCTGTTGTTGGAGCACGAGTAACCAGCCGGTTGTGGCATGGAATTCCCCAACCAGTCATGAGATAAAATCTCTCCAGCTAAGTTCTGGTTCTGTCTTGTGATCACCCTGTGAGAGCCGGCAGAAGCATCTCCTCAGGACTCTTAGGGAGGATACCTCTGCATGCCTAACTGCTGAAGTAGAGGGAAGAAGGTCTTTGTTTTTCTCCATCTTTAAGGTTCGGCTCAGAGATGAACATCTTCTGGAAACGTTAAGACCACAGGTCGTCTGGTTAATCAGGGTTCTGGATGAATGTGCATCTTTAGTGGCTCAGAAAGTGTCAAACTTTATTAATGATTCCTTTTGATGTGGCGAAGCAGTGACTCTGATCTGATAGACCAAATCCTCCACCACTTTGCCTGACGGTATGAACAACGCAAATACGACTTTTTCCCCCAGTGCGAACCAGGCCACTTGGCTCTGTGGTCCTGAAACCAATACGAATCTGATCTTTTCAAATGCGACCCGCGTCTGAACCAGGTCGCATCCATCCGACCTGAACGCCATTAGTAGTCGGCAAAGGTCACTATTCTGCATCTTGTTACGCTGAAACGGCGAGAACAACATCAACCATGGCGGACGATGATGCGCAGAGCCGTATTTTTATTAAAAAGATTGATTTTTTCAAGGTTGGGAAAGATTGCTAGATGCGCTCCGGTGCTACCGTCCATGGTTACTTCCGTAAACAGCTTGCACACTTACGTTGTACAAATGCAGTTCACACAGGAGATCGAACTCAAGTCGCATATATTTGGAAACGTAAACGGCAACGCAAGAAAAATCGGATTTTGCAAAACAATCGCAATTGAGCATGAAAGCCTATAGTGTGAAGATAGCCCGTTATCCTCCTGCAGCAGCATGTCGCAGTTAGCTTGTTGCAGGTATGATGCAGATATTTTTGA